CTCCCAGGCCTGGGAGTTGTCAGGAGCAGGGTCCTCTGCCACTCCGGGAGCCTGGCTTAATGTTGACATCACTGGTGCTCAGAGCTGCCCTCTGGAGTGGCCTGGAAGCCTGCAGTCGCCTCATTTTTGCTCCCTTTCCAAGAGATTAACCACAGAGCCCCGTTTAAAGTGTGTTTTATTCCTGTAAAGTTGTGGAGCCGCTCTACTGTGTCCAACACGGTGCAGGCGGCACCCCATCCTCGCAAGCTAAGCTCTTGAGATGCCACTTTAACTCTCTGACGCTGCCTTTGCAGATGAAAGTGATGGGCGTCTTGGTCTTACTTTCTATCACTGCACCTCCAATCCTTGAGTGCCGGCCACGAGCAAAACCCGTTCATCTATTTTCTCTTTTGTGCCCATAGGCAGTGCCTGAGCAGGCGTTCTTGTCACACTCCCCTGAGAGCTGAGCAGCCGGAGGTCAGAGAGGATGACTTTCCCCATGTCAGCAGCTGCGAGACGGGAGCCGGTATAGGAACAGGCCCCTAGACATATCTGTCTCGCGCTTTTCCCTTTGTCGTGCTTTCGCCACTTCGCATCAGCTTTTGAGCTTCTGGTCTGCCTGGGCTCGGGTACTCAATGAGGCTGGACTCGCGCGGTGCAGGGTGGGCTGAGCAGACCAGAGCCCACCGTGGAGGCCGGCATTTGCTTCTCCACCGTGACACTGCACAGCCGCACAGAAGCGCTAGAGGCAGGACCACGTGCCCTCGTGCACTTGGAAATAAAATATGGTTCCCAACTGATGGGGAGAAATGCAGTTTCCTCAACCCTGTTCCAGTCCAGCAACGCAGGACTGACTGCCCAATCTGAGCCTTTTCCTCTCACTACTAATTTTCAACAGTGCAAAAAGGAGCAGAAAGAAAACAGGTGCAAAATATGACTCCACTCGATGTCCCGGAGTCCTCACCCCCTCCACCTGCCTGCCTTCTGGCCCTCCTGATCTCTGGGAAACTTTTAAAAATTAATCTGTTATGAATGCTCCATGTGAACTCATGCAGATGTACGGCCACAGTGGGCCACATGTGAACTTGTTGTGTAAAACTTACCTACAGCCATATGAATTGAAGTTTGTCCTAATTTGATAAGTTGAAGCTTCCCTTGAACTATATAGAAATTTTTAAAAAATTGAAAAGCTGCTTACAAAAAGAATTTCAGGGAAAGATTTGAGCCTATTTAAGAAAACAAGTGGGCTTCATACACTTGCGCCATTGTGCACAATAAATGTGGAGCTGTGAGTGGAGCTTTTCTAGCATCCGGGTGGTCCTCGCAGGCTCTGCCCCTGTGAATGTCTTGTAACTGCTTACAGCTCCTGCATGTGCTGCCAGGGAGCAGAACCATGTCCCTGCAGGGAGCCACTAACTCCCCATCCCCCTGTCACCTCTCGACCATCACTCAGCACAGCTGACCGTCACTGAGTGGATGGTGCAGGAATTAGTTATGCAGAATGCGACGAGTCTGTTTTTCTCAGATGAGCGTGGTGTGTGGTTACAGGAACTGCCTTGGAAACTGTCACAGCCACCAATATCTGGGTTCACCCCACATGTATTGGAGCCATGGGTCTGGGCACCACAGCGACTCAGAGGCAGGTGCCCTCCTGACCACTCGAGAGACACTGCTGTTCTGAACTCATTTCTGCGGGAGACACAGCTGCTCCAGGATCCTCATATTCTGTCTGGTGGCCACATTCCAGAATGGAGACAAAATGTGTCATGACGGTCCTGTTACATGAGGGCTTGGGGTAGGATTTATTTTCTTACTTGGATTTGCCTCCGAACCTTCATGGAGGAATGGATCCTGCCTACATCTTACCTGACATAAAGTAAGTTAGCAACTCGGTTATTACCACCCACTTCACATACCTAGGACTTTGCCTGAGTAGGGCTGACTTTCCTCAAGGCAGGGGCCATGCTTCACAACTCTTGAACTTCCCAGAGTCTAGCCTTTTGGACAGATATCCTGCACACACGCTCACTGAGGGGACAGAGGACTGTGTCCCCGCTGTGTGTCCTGAATGGCGAGCAGAGCGCACCCCGCACAGTTGACTCAGTGGATATGTTGAATTAAAGATTAGGTAAGCACATCAATGAGTACGCGTGTTACAGACGAAGTCATTCCCCCATAAATTGTAAAACCTTGGTGTTTTGTAAGCCAATTAGAAAACATACATAAATAAGGCAGAGATTGCAGGTCAGCGATGGTTTGCATTGAGGGGCCATTTGTACTGGTTGAGGCCCAACCATGGGCGTCCCAGAGCTTGGTGCCATGGGGCAATGAACTGGTCAGAAGCGTGGGCCCTGCCTTTCAGTGGGTGGATCTCAGTGGGGGATATAAGCCAGCCACCTATGAAAGAACCCTTTCCTGTGAGACTGAGTTGCCTCTGTGAGCCCAGCGGGGGTCCCCAGGAGCAGAATGAGCAAAGGTGATGGTCCTGTTCTCATCCACTCCCCAAGAGCATCCAAAACATGAAATCTACAGAAACTCACGCTTTCCTGAAAATGCGGCCATCCCCGGCTGAGGGATGAGGTAAAACGACGACGTGGAGGAGGAATCCTGGAACGCCTTCCGCAGCACCCGACCCCAGCGGTGGGGACAGCGGAGCACCGGGTGCGAGCTCGGTGTCTGGGAGCTGGGCACAGAGGACACCCTGGCCCACCTGCCCAATGGGGTTTCCCTTACCAGTGGGGGATATTCTCCAGGGATGTTAATCTCCCACCCACAAAAGATAAAAACGAGCTCTCCCGTGATTTGCTTTTCTGTCCAGGGGCCGCTGCAGGCATCATGAGTTTCACTTCTGTCCTGACGGGGGAGCTCTCTTTCCTTTGCTGGCATCTGTCTCCCTTATTGCATTTCTTCAGGTTGGGGAAGTTGGCTGAGGAGAACCTTGTAAGTAGTTATTCCTGTGGTTGCTGTTTCCTCTCAGCGCCGTTATCAAGCAAGGGAATGGATCTCCCCATTCGGATCCAGACTGAGTGCAAACAGCTGCCTGGCTTGTTACTCTCATGAAAAGTAAGCGGGAACATCTGTGTAGACAATGTATATCCCGCGACAGTCTACAGCCACGAATACCTGCCTCTGCCGCGGGGATGAACAGTGCTCCCGTGGAGGTGCCAGGCGGCATGGGAACCCGCCCCGCAGCCACCGTGCCCGGCGGTGCTGTACCTCGTCCCGGCTCCCCTCCCAGCTCGGAGGTCCTGAGACGTTCCACAGCCCCGACATGTGGCCATTACATCCCAAGGTCTCTTCTTTAGGATCCAGCCAGGGAACTCCAAATCCAGTCACCATTTTCGCTGGTCTCTGCCAGAGATGTGACTGGTATTTCAACATTAAAATGTAGGTCACACCAGTCACTCTCTTCCAGAAGCCCCCTGGTGCCCTGACCCCCATTCAGAGTCAAGGCTGTTAGGAAGGTGGGGGAGTCCCCCTGCCTTTCTGACTTCATCTCCTCCTGCACCAGCTAGTCACTGTGCCCCTTCCTCCCTCTCCTACCCCCACCGAGCCCTTTTCCCATTCTGTTCCTCTGCCTGGAATGCTGTTCCCCACACGTGCATGGCTGGCTCCTCAGCTCCTCCAAGTCTTCACCAAATGTCCCATGCTCAGCGAGACCTTCCCTGGCCAGCCACCTGGCACTCTGACCACCTCTGCAACACACTACACACGGTGACTCACTATGCCTTTTCCTTGCCTTTTCTAATATAGAATTTGTTTTACTGATTTTCCACCCCTCACGATCATCACTGGAACACAAGCTCCTCTGTAAGGCTGTGGATGTCATCTGTGCTGCTTCTGGTGTCCCCAGCACCTCAGAGAGCACACAGTCGATGCTCAGTAAGTACCTGTGGGCAGAACTGCAGACCCGAGAGCACCTGGGAGGCCTCAGCCCACAAGCTCCTCTGTAAGGCTGTGGATGTCATCTGTGCTGCTTCTGGTGTCCCCAGCACCTCAGAGAGCACACAGTTGATGCTCAGTAAGTACCTGTGGGCAGAACTGCAGACCCGAGAGCACCTGGGAGGCCTCAGCCGGTGCACTGGCCGCATGGCCAGCCTGGACTCCTGCCTCCCTGGGCTGTGTGGAGCTGCTCAGGGCAGCTTGCCCTGCATCTGCCAGGAGCCCGGAGCAACCTTCACTTCAGTTGGTCTTGAGGCCTCTGCCTCTGGAAATAGCAAGGACCTTCAGCTGGTCCCTGCCCCAGGCTCTCAGGGAGTCCAGCCCCCAGGGCCTGTGACCTTTCAGGTCAGCGAACCCAAGAGGGACTTCTTCAGAAATCTCAGTAACTGCTGCCTCTCTCCACACTCGAGCGTTGGTCTAGAAGTAAACCATGCCCTGAAATGGGGAGAGATGGAGCCTCCCAACTCTCAGCAGGCCATATAGGCCCCACTGCCCCTGCCCCGTCTGCACAGAGTTGCAGGCATGGCCCTGCCCTATGCGGGGTAATGGCCCGTGGGCCCAGGAGCACAGAGTCCCTGCCCACACAGTGTCCCCTCCATGGCGTGGGGCTCTGTGGTTGGCCCAAGGGTGGACTTCCTCAGGGAGAGCTTGGGATTCGGCTCAGAGTAGAGCTGGGCCACGGTGTCTGCCCCACTTCTGCCAAAAGACCCCACCCTGTGGCCTTCCGGAGGGAAGCCTAAGACGCCACTGCACTGTCGGGGCCTGAGGGTGTACCTGCTCCCTCTGCCCAATCTGAGCAGGCTTCTAAGAGTGAGGGGCTTTCTGCACACGGTTTACATCGCCAGCAGCTCTAATAACAGCTCCTGCCTACTTGAGTGACCTGAGCCCCAAGCTGATGTCCCTGTTGGATTCATCACCACCTTTTACTTTAATGCTGTCATTGTGCATTACCCCATTTTATAGATGAGGAAACCGAGTCTCACAGAGGCCGGGGCTGGGCGCCACGGAGCTAACAGACATCGACCTGCACTGGCCTGGTCTGCGTGGCTCCAGCATCCTTCCTGCTGTTTCCTGGGGGCTCCCCCC